CAAGGGGGATTAGGATGATGCTAGGTGTTAAGAGAAAATGTAAAGATATGTGTTTATTATGGCATGTAATTGACTAGGACAGAGGCTCCCAGACTGTGTCCTGCTGCAACCTGAAGTGTTAAAAAATTAATAATTAAGTTGGTATTTTCACTAGTTCTCCAACCTACTTGGTACTCTGTACTTATTAAAGTAGCAGTTGGTTTTGTGCAGCGTCTATGCTGTATCAATTAAATATTGTTTTGATAGAGTCAAGTGAAGTTATTGAGGTATGTCTTCTTGTATAAGTAAAAGGTTTCAAAAATGGATTAGATTGTTTAAAAAGTGCTATTTTACAGTGCACGAAGAATGTGGCTTAGAGCAAAATTGAAAAGACGTGGGTGCAGCAACGGTGCTGTGACCCCAAAACGCTTGGGAAACTCTGGACTAGGATATTTGAAATTCATGTACTAGCAGCATTGATGGTAGGAGAGCTGGTCACCCGAAAGCTTTTTCATTAACCCTCTTGGGACGCAACCCTCTTGATCTCTGGCTGTCTAGCAGTGAATCTGACACTGACGAAAACAATCAGGAAAGTAATGAAGACAATCAAAATGATTATGTTTACGATAATTTTGTGCATCCTTGGATTTTGATTAGGTGTTCTGAATTGGATAGAGATGACCCCTATAAATTTTTAGAAAAAACAGAGCCTTTAAATATGCCTCATGGGATAAGCACCCCATTTGAACCCCATTTGAGTACTTATGCTAATTTTTACACAATATTTCATTAAAATGTTTGTGAGTGAGAATAATAAAAATAACTGATAAGTATGCAGGCAACTTTCTCAGTAACACCCAGCTCAAATAAACCATAATTGGATGCACAATGGTGAAAAAGATCGCTCTGTCTGAAGCAACCGAAAAGTACCCCGAGGGCAGGAAAAGGAGTAGAACTCTGTGCCAGGGGTGTCTAAAGGGCCTCAATGGGCCTTATTTCCCAAAACACATGTGTTAGGATCCATTCATGCATCATCCATCAAAAAATTCACATAATTTACACCGGTAAGTCATGTTTATTCTCAGTTGAAATCGACGAGTCTGTTTACATGCAGAAAAATCATGTCGGGCAAGTTTTGCCACAACAATGGGTCTCTGGAGGCATTTGTCAGGAGATTAGTGAGTGTTTCATGTTTTATGTACCGGTACAAGATAGATCAGCAGCTACACATCACACTTATGCCGATAATCACAGCACACATCCTACTGGGCACAAGTCATGTCAGATCAATGGAGAGCATATAATGCAATTGACACCACTCCAGGATTGACTCATCAAACGGTCATTCATTCTGTTAAGTTTTTGGATCCAAACTCAGGTGCCAATAGCCTATACCCAAAGCATCGAACGTTTGTGGAAATCTGCAAAAGAGAGAAACAAGCGCCACAACGGCGCACACAGACACATGCTCGATTTGTATGTTTGTGAGTTCATGTGGCATCAACGTGTTTAAGTAAATGGTTTTTAAGTCTTCAACTCCATTTTAGACGATATTGTTCAATTTTGGCCACTACAGTAGCGGAGGACCTTTAAAGAAGTAAGTATTTATAATTTTTGAATTAAAAGTTTTTTTTAATTTTAAGCTTTTAAGCTAATTCAGATTGATCAGGTTTAGGGATACATTTTAGGGTTCATGTTAGGTTTAGGGATACATTTAGGGTTCAGGGTAGGTTTAGGGATACATTTATCACATAAGTTCGTGGGTCACGATAACCAAGATGGCGGCCGCGGGCTGATCTCTCCGAATTATTTTTTTTTATTCAAAAGAACATTTGCAATAATAATTTTTGCAGTGAATTAAAATTGAAGTATCCACTTCTGATACCGGTTCCGAATAGCTGCAGCCAAACTTTTCATTACAAATACAGATAAGGCAGAGCCAAACTTTTCTTTACAAAAAAAGAAAAGGGAGTAGCCGATTTTCCCCCAAAAAAAAAAAAAAAAAAAAAAGCAACTTTCATCTTGAATCTTGACTGATATCATGTTAATTATTATAGAACTATATCTAAAATATAATTAAAAAATACAATAAAATTATAAACATAAAGGTATTCTTACTTGCTTTTAGCTTTACGTCACATTGTTCGTGTTTCTTCGACGCTAAAAAGAAAATCTTCAAAATATGACACATTTTTCGATTGATAATAATAATAATAGCTCTAACTCTAAGATGGAAAACCAACAGGAAGTATTCGTCATAACCGTCACGTGACCAACTGAAAATATATTTTTAAGACCTCACGTAACCAGTTGAGTCCGAATAGCCATTTGGTGATATAGGTACTCGGGTAACTGCAGCCACTCCGTTTTGAATTTATCAATTTTTTTCTGGGGAGGAGCTCACTGAGCCTTTTCCCCAAACCCTAATCACCAGTTTCGTTCGGGGGAAAGCAGTGACCTCGATTTCTGATCAAAGTGGCAAGTATGTGATGGGAGGGGGTGTCAATAAAATTCAGTGCTGTGGTGGCATCTCGAATTTCCAGGAACTGGTTATAATAAATGTATATAATCTTTAGGAACATAACACTCTGCTTATTTACAACTTTTTCTGTTAATTTTTTATTCCACTACCGGGTCGCTAAGCTTATTTACTTCTTGAGAGCCGGTAAGTTGCCACTACTGGTTAATATGTAGAAAAAATTTTGTAAATTCGCTCAATGATGTTTTTACCGCGAAATAATTTCGGTTTCGTTTTAATGCTATTTAAATGGGCTATTGATAGAAAAAATGAGAGCGTTGCTAAGCAGGCGTCTGAAAAAAAATGCTGTCTCGAATTGAAATTGAGGATATGAAATAAAACATTCTAAATGCCCCCCTCCAAAGTACAGTATTAATTTATTTTAAGCCTAATTTTTTATTTTTTTTTTTTTTGTGTAGTCCCTTATCAATGGTGTATTTACCTGTGTAGCAGCTACAGCCATGCTGCTGGGCCCGGCCAGGAATAATTAACAGATTAAAAGTAAAGACAACGTTTCTTGTTTGATCGGCCTAAACATAGATATTTAGTCTATCTAAAATTCCAATTTCAGTTTTCTTGGCAGATAGCTATTACAACTTCCTGGCAATTTCCTGTTTCGTGATGTGATATCACGTAACTTTTTTATCCTAAATTTAGTTATAAATTATATCTTGCCGGAAAGGGTATTTTTATTATGTATATTTGGTATACTTAAGTCTCCGTGTTTTAGAGTATAATTTAATATTAAGAAATTAAGAGTGTTTTAACATTCATCCATGGAGGTCCAAACCGCTTGTATTTATTATATCTCAAAAATTATTTAACCTATAATATAAAAGTTTATCTCAAAAAGCCGAGACAAAACGCGAACGGACACCACTAAGTCTTCAGGGTTTTGGTCCAGGGTTTTAACTTTTATTCGAGTTTGAGCCTCTAAGTATTGTCTGCTTTACTGGGTTTGTTCAGCCGATGATGCAGTCGACCATAAAAAGTGGTCAGTTAATGACGTAGCTGCTCTCCAGTATGTCCGCACGTCCCTACTTATAGGAAGTACGCGAACGGGTATACCATGCGATATGCAGAAAGTTGAACTGAAACTCAAAAGGCTTCTCGGCCTTTTGGCTCAGATCAAAGTGCAGTCCATCTATCTCGCTATGGTCTGGCCGGGGTCGAGACAATCCCTGTTACAGGTATAGAGTGTAAAGCCAAGAGACCAGAAGGGGTCAAGAGACCCGCAATGGAGGAATTGGGAGTGACTACCTCAGTATTGCACTACTTACTACTTCTGGGGGAACACTCCCAAAAAAAAAAAAAAACTCAAGCAAACAACTGATTCAGTCTTTTAATTTAGGTAGTTCTTTTAATTAAAATTTTCAAGCAAGTAAAATATTTTGACAAACCTGAAACACTTTTTAAAAAACTAAACCCAAATAATAGAGTTTGCATTAAGTCACTTCGCTGTCACTGTATGTGAGAAGCGTGTACAATTCACATTTTAAAAGAATTTCAGTCTCTTTCTTTGAAGTTCCTAAAAAAATATTAATTAATAATTGCTGGTCAAAACGTTTCAATCGCACTGCTGTTAATTTATTTTTGTAAATAAATAAATGTGTAACTTAAAAAAAAAATTTTTTTTTAAAAAACAGCACGCGCCGTGTGTTATTGAGCATATCTTATCTTCCTCATTTAAACCGTAACTGTGGCAACAGCAAGAGGTCGTTCTCAAAGATTGGCCTAAGCTCAGCAACAACTATCTACGTGGTGCCATGTTGGAAGACAGACATTCTCAGCATAGAAAATAAACATGCAAAGCAAATGGAAGTGGATGACCGTGTTAATATAGTTGCATAGAAGAAGTGCCCCAAAACGAAATTGTGAAAATAATGTGAGAGTCTAGAGGCAGAGGCGTGTTGTCGTTGTTGATTCATCTTTAAGCTATCAAATGATATGGGCTCAACAAAGAAATGTTATGACAATCAGGTTTACAGTGCCTTTAAAGTGGGCGCCCGTGTACATAAAGTTGCTGATTTAGTTACGCCACTGGCGCTCCTAATTTAAAGTTAAAGCTACAACTTTTTTTTTTTAATGGGACACTCCTCCATTCCACCTTTTCCTAAGTCCCAACAACCCATTTCTTTGTGATCGTCCGCCATATTCTACAAAAGCTGATAGTGCCATGGATTATAGTTGAGGATTTTATTTATGCGATTTGAGTTAAACTTAATTTATTGTAAGTCGACGTAGTGAACATTTCAGGGGGTAGCAGTAACTGCTGAGTGATGACCTAGATCAGTGTTTCTCAAATGTTGGTCCACCGACCGGCGCCCGGTCTGCGAACCTTACGCTGCCGGTCTGCACACCATGAATATTTATGGTCGAAAAAGAATAAATTGTAATTAATAAATCTGACATCGATCCCTGATGCAATTTTAAAACGTGTCCGCAGGTCCGCCAAACTTAAAAGTCTGAGAAACGCTGACCTATATTTTGGACAGCTTGTGAAGTTATGTTGCGTATTGATGGTGCAACCCTCGCTGTTTCAATCCAGTTCTACTTAAAAATCAAAATATAAGGCACAAGTTATATTATTCCACCCAGTTTTAGCGTAATCAGTACACTTTCGGGTAAAGCAATATTTGTATGTCTTTGCTAACAATAATTATAAAAATTCCAGTTTTAATTATTATTGTAACTCAACCAGGCGTTCCGTATGTATAGTAGATTTCGTTTTATGTAGGCACGGGGGCCTACATAGAATAAGGTGGCTGTCAGATACGAATATAAAATCCTGCCTGGTTCTTGTAGTTAAGTATATAATGATCGTATAGTCTTAAATATAGTATATGTTATAAAGTTCAGTTTATAATTATTTTTTTTTTTAAATTTACCCTACCCTACTATTAAAATACAATAGTCAGTAGTCTATATGAGTATATAACTAAAACTACTGTCTATAACTGTATAGTATAGTATAATAATAGTAATATCAGTACAGTCAGTACAGTATAGTCATAGTCTGTATAGTGTATAGACAGTATAGACCATACTCCATATAGTCGTCTATATTGTCAATATAGTAGTCTAGTATATAATATTATAATACTTATAATAGACTCTAACTGTAGTGGACTATAAATTGAATAAATAATTCAATATGTCTAATATTATAATATTCTATAATCTAAATTAATATAAAAAACATATAATTTATTATTATAATATAATAATACTAATAAAACATAAAATAGGCCTACTAGCCTACTACTAGTAACTACTACTACTACTATTACTATCACCATCTTCAAAAGTAGGCCTATGCCTATACTATGCAACAAAAAAATAAAAATATTGAATATATATATTCATATACATAGTTACAGTTACATCACAATGACAATTACTTTTGCAGACTGACAAGTGGGAGACTGCATTCATTTTGATTTGTTTCAAGTTGCCATAACTTAACGCCACTATCATTAAACGGCAAAGTCAGAGTGAGTATTAATAAATAGGCTTTACTTTAACAGGCTGAGGCCTGGGCCTGAGGCTATAATTTAAATATTTTTGTAGCATGACCACATTATTTAATTATATTGTAGGAAAAATTAGTTGTTAGTTTTATATTAAATGCAATTGCATGATACTGGGCATTATAATTCATTATTCATTATTATGGTCTCTAGGATAAAAATTTAAAAAATGAAAGCATTTTTTCCTTCACAACACTTAGTTAGCTGTTAGGCATACATCAAAACTTATTGTTACCACAAACAAGCAAAATTAAAATTTAGTCACATTCATTATTGTCTTTATTTTAAAATCTTAAATTATATTTTTAACACTGATTTTTGGGGGATATTATTTATATTGCAATCGTTCAATATTTACCACCAGTCCAGACCTTGGCATATTAATATTCATTGTAGAATAGACGAGAAAGAAAATGGACATTTGAAATGGAATTATTTTTATGTAAACAATAGAATATGTTTTATTCTCATTCATTAAGATAATAATTAAGGATAAGTCTTGTTAGTTGACGACCATTTCAAATTTAGTTTATCACCTTTTTCTCCCACAGATGTTCATTTCCTTCTTAGACGATATTTCTATTTTGCTTCTTCTGCTCATTGGTCTACTTACTGCCTTTTATTTGTATGCCACAAGTTATGTTGGTGTATTTAAATCAGTTGGCATCCCGGGCCCTGCTCCATGGCCAATAATAAACCACATACCAGAATTAAAGAAACATGGCCTATCAAAGATGCTCGATGAGTGGAGAGGAAAGTACGGAAAAACATATGGAATATATGGGATGTTCCCAAGATATCCCACTCTGGTCACATTTGATTCAAGGCTGTTGGAACACATTATGATTAAAGATTTTGACAACTTTGTTGACAGGGTTGGTAGAAACACCTCAAAAAGTGCTGTTCTTGAGGTAAGTTCCTCAGTTTCATTAAGCACTTCTGTGTCAATTTCAGGAGTTAAATTCGCAATTCCAGGTCTATTTAAAGCATCATTGAATAAAAGTTCTATTTGTCTAAATATGAATGCTTTATTTGATAACAATTGAAAGATTGCAATGATTTGTTCTTTTTTTGTAGTTTTTTTAAATTTTGACTAAACTTTAGTGTATATAAGCAAACTTAACTATAAAAAGAATATTATATTACTTTTTAAAATTTTAAAAATTAATTTGTTTTGATAGACTTATTTATTCTGCCAAAGAAAGTTCTGATCCCTGACTTTAATTGAAGTTTAACCAAAATGGGTTTACTTTGCGTAGCAACTTGACAGCAAAAATATTTTGTTTAAAATTACGATGTATAATTTATTTTTATTTTGTTGTTTTAAAAAGTTAGTCAAAATATAGTTTCTGCTCTCTTCAAGGTTTAAAAAAAATATTTTTCAAAACTATATTTTTGTAAATAAAGAAAATATAGCTTCTGCTCTATTATTTTCAAAGTGTGGTTTGCAAAATATTTTTCAACAGCACTTATTACTTAGTTTATTTTCTGAACTGCTCATCTGGCTTAAGAGTTAAAAAAAATTCAATTTGTTTAAAAAAATTAATTAATGAAAAGAAAAGACAAATGGAAAGTTATTTTTGGTTGTTTGTATCAAATACTTTTCAACAGCACTTATTACTTAGTTTATTTTCTGAACTGCTCATCTGGCTTAAGAGTTTAAAAAAATTCAATTTGTTTAAAAAAATTAATTAATGAAAAGAAAAGACAAATGGAAAGTTCTTTTTGGTTGTTTGTATCAGACCATAGTAAAATAATAAATCATTTCAAATGAAATTTTATATTTACTTAACATTGATTTTTTTTATTATACCCATAATGATTCTGCAATGATGTTTCTTTTTTTTTCCCAGGGTCTTTTTTTCTTGAACGGGGATCACTGGAGAAGGTCGAGGCATGTGTTGTCACCAATGTTTACAGCTGGGAAACTAAAGCAAATGCTGCACCATGTGAACACAAGTGCAGGTCAACTGGTCAGCCTAATGTTAAAACACAAGGAAGAAGGAAAACTGATTCCATTAAAAGCTATTGCATGTAAATACTTATGCAGCTGGGTTTTTTTTTATGTTTGCATAACTATCTTGACAGAACACTGATCGGTAACTTAAATTAGCAACATATTGTTTTTCTGTTTTAAAAAAAAAACTGAATTCCAGCAAGTAATCTGTATCAATACTAATACAATTTTTTTTTTTTTGTAAATTAAATTTTCTCCAGCTCACCATTAATTATAATTTTCCTAGCTCTGCGTATACAACATTAATCTTTAGGGTTTCCAATATAAAATAATTGTGAATTATGCAAGGTAGGAGCTTGTTAATATTATTAGTACAAATTCTCTGCCAATTTTCCTGCAATGTTCAAATGTTTGATTTTTTAAAAATCAATATACATTTTAGGTCTTTTTTTTCCCCTTTCCGTGTGGTATAATCATAAGATATTTGTTTAAGTAATCTTGAAGTAATGTGACTATAAGATTGCAAACATTTCACTTTAAAAAGGTATCTCTCCTAAAACTATGCTGTTTAGTTGAGTAAGAAACAAGTTAAGTCGTCTTTTGACCATGTATTACATCTTGATCATTACCAGTAATTTATAGGACTCCTAGAGTATTACTCACCTTCTGTTTGTTACTTTTTAAATTTGTAAAAGTCAATTAGAACATTATTTGTTAAAAATGATAACAATTCTAGCTCAAAGAGAGATTGCCTGTCATTGCTCTATTTTTCTGGTCATGCCTGAAGTCCCTGGTACGATTTAAAAATACCCTGAAAAATAAAATCTCCATCCGCTTTATTTAAAGTCAGTGATGTTTATCATGTTTGTTTTTCATCCTTCACAAAGAATGCGGGGACTACCATTTTCAGGATGGGAAATAAAACACTTTTTTTTACTGTTTCCTTTGCAGCCAGGTACACATCTGATGTTATTGCAAGGGTCGGCTTCGGCATTGACTCCCTGGCCTTGACAGAGGAGAAAAGTGAATTTGCTTATAATATCGGCAATTTCATACGTATCCCAGCAACTCGTCTGCAAGACATTCTCAGGTAACTAATCATGTTAAGGCTAGGGTGGCATTTGTTAAGAAGTAAATTAAAGGGAGATTGGTGAGATAAAAAAAATTTGCTTGTATTTTTAGTGTTTGGCAACTAAGGGCGACCTGTAAATTTTTCATCATGGTCAAAGTGCACATGCCCAAATGGCATAAGGGTCAGGATGATGATGACGATGATTTCAATGATGAAGTTATTTACGCCATTTCATCTAACAATGAAAATTTTCCAATCATTATTTCATAAATTTCTGGAATGATTTACTTCCTTTTACAAAAAATATCTTCTGTCTATCTGGTAGTGATGGAATTGATTGTTGGGATAATTTTAACAGTCTGATGAATGATTTTGAGAATTTTTTTTTTATTTTGAATGCAGGACCATTGGAGAGTTTTTCCCCCCAATAATGAACTTTGGTCTGAAATACTTCAATGAGCAGGTGGATGCAATCTTACCGGAGACAAACAACTACTTTGTCAGCTTAATTAACGATGCCATTGAGAGAAAAATCAAAGAAAAGAATATGCCAGGTAAGATGTGAGTTTTTTTTCATAATTTTTATTCACTGTTTGATCAGATTCGTCCGTTTGTTTTTCAGCTTTAGTGAGAAACATCACAAAGTAAAGGTCAGGGGGCCCTCAAGTGCACTGTTTTGTTTTTTTGCCATACGCTGAAGACCATTTGACAAATTTTAAAATGTTAAAATATTGATTAAGAGTTTCTGGAATCTCTAACTCTCAATGGAAATGTTGCAATTTAGTTGCTTTTAAAAGATATGTTCCCAGTTAAAGTGGATATATTGTTAAATATATTTATTTGCTAATGTTCTCAAGCTCTTTGCCCCCTCTCCCCCCCCTGAATTAAAAAAAACCTCAATTGTTGAATAAACACTCTATTTATATTATGTATTTTCATGAGCAATGAAATAAGATAAGATCAGATCAGATATTCTTTGATGGATCCAAATAATTGGAAATGGTTTTTTTAAATACATTTTGCAAATTTTTTTTGAGCACATAAATACATTCATACTGTAACCTAGACAACATTTTAAAATTATAGCAATTTAAACACAGTACATCTGAAGTATTTCTCTAGTATAGAAATCAGCCATCATGGAACCCCCATTGCTGACAATATTGACATCAGTGACCTTTCAGATTTGGGAACCACTGTGGGAGCACACGTCACTTGTAAACTCGTACAGGCTGGGGAACAAAAGAATTTGTAATGTCTTTCTGTGCTAGCTTTAAGAGAAATAATTCACCCTGAGTTTTTTTAGTTCAAATATTTCTTCGCATGAAGAGGCATGTTCTACAATTAAAACCAGCGCATAATATTATCATCTCCTAGACAAAGCAAAGAAAGCCCACTTGGACATGCTGGACATGTTGCTTGAAGCCGAGGTGGATGACAAGACTGGCAGTCAGCTCACCGCTGCGGACAGGAAGATCACACGTAAATATGTCATTGGAAATTCAGCCATTTTGATCCTGGCCGCCTTTGAGACGACGTCTACCGCCCTGAGTTCTATCCTTTACCTCTTGGCCAGACATCCAGATGTCCAGGATAAGGTCATCGAAGAGATTGATGGGGTTCTGCAGGGTAAGGTCCAACCCAGCTACGAGGATTTGGGAAAATTAGAATACACCACACAGGTGAGACATCCGTTCAGTATTAATAAAGAATAGTGTAGCTTGATTATGGTTGCGCCCTGTGTAACAGGGGTCCTCAAACTACGGCCTTCTGGCCAAATCCGGCCCGCCAGGGGTCTTTAATCTGGCAGCCATAAGAGTACCTAGCTAGCAGCAATAAAAATGAAACCAGACATTGATCATCTCATTACCTATTATTCCTTTCATGGTTTGGGGAGAAAAAAACATTCTGAATACCTTGGAACCAACTTTTTTGCATTTTGTAATAATAATTTTTAAAATCCAGAATTAAATTAAAAATTTTGTTTAATGGCATAAACAGTATGAACTAAGGATTATCGTGTTTTAAAATTTTTAAAATTCGCAATGGACAAGAGGTAACGCTGTCTAATACAGATGAAGTCCTCAGTTTTAAGATTACTCTCCAGACCAAACGTCTTTGTTGCTGTTGCTCATGATGAGTCACTAAATAAGCATTTACACCCTTCCTTTGTACAGCAAGACATAAAAAAATAGCATTTTTATATTCAAGTAACTTTTAATTTATTGTGGAGGTCTGTTTGATAAGCATGCACACACATACACACATCCTTTTAGTAGATATTTTCATTAACTTATTTTATCTATAGGTCATCTATGAATCTCTCCGTATGTTCCCTCCCTCACCTGATGTGACCAGACGGGCTCAGGAGACCCGTACCTACAACGGGGTCACAATACCTAAAGGTGTGGCCATTTTCATCCCCATCTACAAAATTGTGAAAGACCCCGAGTATTTTCCAGAGCCTTTCAAATTTGACCCCGACAGGTTTTCCCCTCAAAGGAAATCTGAGATCGATCCCATCTCATTTCTACCATTTGGTTTTGGTCGAAGACAGTGTGTGGCCAAACGGTTGGCCCTGATGGAATTAAAGGTGAGAGTGGAAAAATCCCTTTTCATAAGCTGTCATTCAAACACACTTGTATGTGAGTGCGATGTTGGTTTGCTACCCCTAGCCGTATAGCATTTAAAATGATGCCAATTCGGCGACCTCGAGATGCGCTAGAGCAGCATTTCCCAAGCTCTTAAGTTTGGGACAGTTGGAGATGTTTGGATTGATCCATTATAGTGTCTATTTATCTGACCCAAAATATTAATGTTGTGTGGAACGGCAATGGTAGACCTGTGGACCGATGCCGGTCTGTGGAACACGATTTGGGGAACGCTGAGGTAGAGTATGGTGAAACTAGGGACGCGGCTTACCCTCGAGGTTCCATATCTTCCAATGTCTTTTGAAGCTTTAAAATTATGTGCGTAACTTATTTCAAATGTTCCCTTATTTATGCTTCTCCTATTTGATATTAAAATTGGATGAAGTAGTTAAGTTTTAACTTTAAACAGTTACTGTTTAACATATCAGATTGGCATGCCTCAATATTTTTGTATAATCACAAGTTATCTTATGTCATGTCTTGTCTTCTGATCTCAATGAACCTCAGTTGAAATTGTGGATGTCCCTAGATGACCCCTATGTCATATTATGTCACCTATGTCTCAATTCTTCTATACCCTCAGATTGTCTCTTGTGATGCCGTCTGACCTCATGCCTCAACTGTTCTATATCCCCAGGTCGTCTTGTGTCAACTGCTGTCCAAGATGAGGTTTGTTCAGACGGATAAGACAGAGCCACAGCTGGGCAACGATGCTGAGTACATTCATGTGGATGGATTCTTCATTGCCAAGAAACCAATCGAGTTGGACATCGTCCTGAGATAATTGGGGGGAAAAGCAACATGTACGCTGTTTAAACTTTTGTTCTTCTATCCCTTTCCATATCAATTTCCTATTGCTGTATCACCAGTTTGTTCTCCTGTCACATGTATGTTCCCATATTGACTGTACGTTCACATAAACACCTTTATGTCCCCATATCACCTATATTGTTACCACATCCTCCTTCATGCTTAGTGGGCCAAGCTTTGAAAAACGAATCAGATTATTTATTGCTGGAATGTGTTCAGGTCATCCAGTTAACAAAGTTCAAGGGTCATACAATACATTACTGCCTTCATAAATTTTAATCTATTTTTCACCTGTTGATTATGCCTAAGTTTCTGATGAGATACATATAATAGGTACATTGTGGTTTAACAGGTGTGCTGAAAGATTTTGACCTTAAGGATAAAACACCAATGTTAAAAGTGTTGCGGGGTGATGTTACCTGCAATGAATGTGTGGATATAAGTAAAATAGCACCTTTAATATTTTGTAAATGATCTAATGTAAAAGAAATAATTTTGCTTGCACTGACACATCTGAAATGCTTTCATATTGCTTTTTTTTACTACATGTAACAGAATTTTAGGCATTAGTTTTAGTGTGTTGAAAAAAATACAGCTGTAACATTGCTATTGAAATAGTATTATTTGGAACTTTGAATGTTATTGTATTATTGTAACATTTGGATGATAATAATTTAATTTTTTTTAAAATCAAAAATACCTCACTATTATTAATGTAATAAGAATGTAATGATAATGCAGCTTTTATTGCTGATGTGATTAAACAGTCAGTTGCGGGCAGCCGAGGAAACCTTTTGTCCTCATTTTCATGATGTAATTTACTTTTCGTTTTCTAATTTTAATTTTTTTTAAATTTTGTGTAACGTTTGTACAATTTCTAAAACCCATCTATTACCATGTGTCATGTATGCCAGCTTTAAAAATATTTTTTGTAAAACAACATTCCAAATGTTTTTGGTTCTTTTTTTAATAATTTTTTTTTTTATTAATTATAAATCATTATTATTTTTTTTATTAATTAATAATTGATTTTTTACAAATAACGTGTACAACAATGGTGCTAATACTTGAGAGAAGGAATGTACACATTTTTTTTTTACCAACCAGTGGATGGATCTCCTATTTCATAAAGTTTGTAAGATTAAACAGAGACTTTTTAAATTATCATTTTGCCATATACACAGTAAATTTAATGTAGATTGAAATTCTCTGAAGGTTGGGGTACCATGCATGTGTTGATGTTGTCTCGTATCTGCTGACTTGATTCAATGATGACATGAAATAGTGCTATTTTTATAACCTTATTGAAAAGAATAAAAAATATTGTGATACCCTATAAGGTTGTCTTTGTGTGGACCTTTTGTGTGTTAGAACTGAGGGGACTTTTATATGTTGGTCATCCTGAAGGGACATTTGATATAGTTCATCCTGAAAGGAAATTAGATGTTGGTCATCCTGAGAGGATATTAGATGTTGGTCATCCTGAGAGGACATTAGATGTTGGTCATCCTGAGAGGACATTAGATGGTGGTCATCCTGAGAGGACATTGGTCATCCTGAGAGGACATTGGTCATCCTGAGAGGACATTAGATGTTTGTCATCCTGAGAGGACATTACATGGTGGTCATCCTGAGAGGACATTAGATGTTGGTCATCCTGAGAGGACATTAGATGTTGGTCATCCTGAGAGGACATTAGATGTTGGTCATCCTGAAGGGACATTAGATGTTGGTCATCCTGAAAGGACATTAGATGTTGGTCATCCTGAAAGGACATTAGATGTTGGTCATCCTGAAAGGACATTAGATGTTGGTCATCCTGAGAGGACATTAGATGTTGGTCATCCTGAGAGGACATTGGTCATCCTGAGAGGACATTAGATGTTGGTCATCCTGAGAGGACATTACATGGTGGTCATCTTGAAGGGACATTACATGGTGGTCATCCTGAAAGGACATTAGATGTTTGTCATCCTGAAAGGCCATTAGATGTTGGTCATCCTGAGAGGACATTAGATGTTGGTCATCCTGAGAGGACATTAGATGTTGGTCATCCTGAGAGGACATTACATGGTGTTCATCCTGAGAGGACATTGGTCATCCTGAGAGGACATTAGATGTTGGTCATCCTGAAAGGACATCAGATGGTGGTCATCCGTTGTCTTATTTCAACACACAACAGGAGTCACCCGGTGACTGCCAACCGGGTCAAGTACGAGTGTGTTTTCTGTTGACCCCATCCACCGGCAAGCCATTGTGCCTGACGTTATCATTTGAAGACGAGGTTAAAGGTCAGAGGTTAATGAACTCTAGAGGGATGAGCCGGTAGACGGTCGTGAGGGTATATCTGTACTCAAATATAATAACACTAGTGCTTTACTGGGTGCAGTTGTTGTTGTTTTTACTCTGGGTCCGGGTTTTCTTCTTCTATATCTTGAGACAGTTCTACACCATACCTGACGGCCTTTAAACACTATGCCGACAGACAGCCCTACACCAGACCCATGGCTCTGTATTGACTAATATAATAGTCGCCTCCGAAAAACAAAACACCCTTTATATCTGAGTTCAACCTTCACACATGACCAGGGATGTCATTTGGGTAGGGCAGGGTGGGCATTATCGCCCCCCGCCCCCCCCCCCTTGAAATTTCAGGTTTTATTTAAATGTAACTTTACTGTGGCACTTCCAGTAATAAACAACTAAACAAGCCGACCAAGTTTTGGGTTTGCCCCCACCCACCCCGAAAAAAACCTGAAATGACGCCCCTGCACACGAGGCTCGCTGCTTGGCAGCTTCCCCCCCTCCCCCACTCCGTACTACTAATAAAAAAAATTTTGATACAGGGGATGGCCCGTTGTGAAAAGGAAGCAGCCACACCAGAAGCAAAATATATATAAGAGATATGAATTGATCTCCACCCCAACCTCCCCGGGTCGATTCGGACAGCACAACGAATTCCATCGGGCAGGCAGGAGGCGTTGGCGGGTGTGGTTAAGGAATGGGGAAACAAAATTATAGGGGCTGGAATGCAAACAAAATAAATATTTGAATTCCTTTATATTTTTAGAGAGACATACGTTTCTCTCATGGTCATGTTAATATATAAGATTGGTCGCACGTAGCTAAATCATATTTGGAAGCTCAATTCAGAGCCGTTCTTAGGAGTTTAAGGGCCCTAAGCATGGAGCGTAGGTTGGGGGCCCCGGAAGGGGGGGGGGTCCGGGGGTGGAGCTCCCTCGAGCTGAGGATAAAACATGACCCACCATTGCGGCACCTCCATTCTGCCTTCATCAATGTTTCCTCTTTCCCATTCCCACGGCCAAGCCCCCATTTCCTGTCTGCCACCACCAAACCTCCCCCTGCTGCTTCCCTTCCCCTGCCTCCGAATTCAACTCAGAATGATGAATTTCAGGATGAGGAAGGTAACGTTAGTGACAGAGACGGCTGCAGTGCCAGTTTAAAAAAAATACCGGGGGATCGAGGGCGCCTCACGGGGGCCCCCTCACGTTCGGGGCCCTACGCAGATGCGTATTCAGCGTATGCCTTAGGACAGGCCTGCTCAATTGTTTAGGTGTTACTCGTTCGTTGTTCGTCCGTCGAGGATCGACGGGGACCATCGAGTCGTCCGGTGACTGATGACTTGCGCGGGTGACTTTTGTTTAAAGTGAGGAAGAGTTGCGCGGTGTCAATCTTACTCTCTCGTCCGGGCCCACCATATCCAGTGGCATACTCTGCGTCAAGACGACCAGGGATGGGTACGGTTGCAGGAATTGTCATTGTACTAAACTGTATGCGCCTTACGGGACTCCAACTCCGGTTTTGAATTCAGAGTTTCCCTCTCTTAGATGAGTTGCCGACCAAGGTTAACGAGTCTCATCCACCCGGGTGCTTCTGTAACACTATTGAAAAGATTCATACTTCCACGGCAGATGTTTTAATTTTTTTTTACGCACCAGATCATGCGCACCTGTACACAAGAGTATTGCGGGAATTTGTATTTGATTTTTTAGGGGCGAAACCTTCGGTGAGGGTGCTCACAAGTATTTTTGTAAACAAAAATGTACGAGCCGATTAAATAACAAAATCAACAGCAGAGCTGGCTTCAAGAAAAGTAATATTAGCTTTAACATCATATTGGTGAGTTGCATTCACTTACTTCGTGGACTATTGTTAAACTGTGGCAGCGTCTAACTAGCTTACACTTACATATTGGTCACAAATATTGGCCTACCCAAATATTTATTTCGTACACTTCATTTTTAAACGCGGCTATAAAAGTGCAAAAAGTATTTTTTTTCTAAATATGGTCTTCATCAGTGGCGTATCCAGGTCTAGTGCCATTCGGGGTGGGGCGAAAATTTTGCCAACCCCTTCCACGAAAAAAGAAATGCCCCGCCTCCATATAAAGAATAAATGTGCCGCCACCGGAGCGGGACCCCCCCCCCCCCCCCCCCCCCCCCCCACTTTGAACCGGATTTCATGCTTGTCTTATCTTTGACTTTAAACAAACTATATGCAGTGAGTGAGGAGATGATGAGTTTAGAGTACAGTGGTCGCAAACGACGACTCTGGGTCCACTTTCATGAAGGCATTATTTTATATCTGTAACACATGCGGCTTTTGAAATATTTTCTTAGCAGATGTAATAAAATCATATAGTCTGTTTTTAAAATGCCCCCCCCCCCCTTTTTTCACATCAAAAGATTGCCGACCTTGGACTAAGGTAAGATTTGTTATCGTTCACAATTGAACGACATACCGCGGTAACCAGACACAAAGCTTGTTTTTTTCAAATGCGTGCACGATAACCAACAACCAAACTTAAAGACACAATTCGATGTTCATCCACTCTACTCATACAACAAGCAGCCAATCAGAACCGTTTAGGCGCCAAAGCTTTCCCCCCCCCCCCCCCCCCCCCCCCCCTATTCCTGCTAGTCGGGGAAACCACGTGTGTTCCTGGCAGAGACCTGGCCAAACTACTTCCTAAATGAGCCAGTGTCACGTGCTATAAATCCACAGACGGTTACATCCTGGAACGGACTCTCGAACGTATTTTCAATAGGTTAGTCAAACATGGAATTGGCTTATGTCACACATTAGGCCTGCGTCTAGAATCTAGAGCACAATCCCGCAGGATTATTATTTTATTATTATTTTTCTTTTGAAAGTCAAGGGTGTCAGCGTCTTAGTCACTACCTGAGGGGGCTGGGGCTGGGGCTAGGGTATGGGCTGTCAGCTCTTCAGCCACCACACCCAAGAGACAGATGGATAATGAGTTCTATGTTGTTTTTGGTGTTTTTTTTTTTACAAAAACTCAAGGACTCATCTATTCCAAATCGTCTTCATATTATTATCCTCAGAATTCCTTTTTTTTTTTTTTGTTTTTTTTTTTTTTTTTAAATTTTGATTTTCACTTTTTGTTTTGTCAATTATTTTTTTTATTTAAAAACGTTATTAATTTATT